GAATTCAGAAACTGACATGTGTTGATATGATGCTCTGCCGAATCTCTTACAGATGTTCTGAATTCAAAGAAAAGACTGTCTCTCTGATTTAGGGAACACTGACTATTGTAACATGTGTCTAGTCTGACAGAGCAGGAATCCAACTGGGAGAGCAACTAAAATCTACCTATTGTGAGTGCCAAGTTATAGAAAGTGTTATTTTTCTCCTGGAATAAGATCAGTCTAAAAATACTGTACATCTCATATTCATTTCTTCAAGTTCCTTAACATTTATTTTTAAATTTTTGGATTTCAGGGGATGGCTGGTTAATGTGGGACTTTTTTGTTTCAAAACTGGGACTCCTATGCACTGAGAAAGTCCCCAAATCCATGCAATTTGCTTGGTGTTATCACGGCTTTTTGATGAGTCTGTGTGAGCAGTGTGAACTTGCTCCGTGGAGTACTGCAGGCTGGTGATGTCCTCAGGATGACTAGGGTAGAGAGTATCACATGTCCCCAGACAACAGGGTGTAGAACAGCTGGGCAGCTTACTGCATCTTAGGTCCACAAGCTTTACAAGCTAGCTCCACCGTTGACATCCCATGGCCTTGTTGGGATGCTGTGACTCTCATTAGAAAGGTACAGATCACCACAATACATCTGGGTCAGTAGCATTACTGTTAGTATACTATGCCAAAGAGCAGAAAGGACTTGGTTTAGGACAGAAGCAGTAAGAATGAGCTATCTTTGAGTAATTTTGTTTGATGGGAAAGAAAGTTTGTTAAAGGCAGTCTGACATTAAGATTTTACCCATAGTTTGGGCCCTTGCTGAAGCAGGGTCCTGTTGCCTCAAATCTGAGTCCATGATGATAATGTGATAGCGAACACAGAGGGATTTGATTGTCTTTATTTTGTTTCTTCACGAAGAAAAGCAGTTTGAAGAAAAGGAAGGAAGATAAGCTGTGTCAATCCCATAGGAGAGAAAGGGGCTTTTGTTGGGGGGATTCTGAGAGCACAGTGTGAGGTGAAGCTGGGTATCTCACAAGAGATGGCCTTGGAGGACAAGAAGAGTTTGCTCTGGGGCTCCTGTTGCCTAATGAAGTTCTTCAGTGGAGTGCCATGCTAGTGCCCTGCTTGCTCGATGATATGCCACA